AAGCTCCTCGAGATTGCGCTCTGACGAGGTGCTATCGATTGATCGATCGATCGACTTTTGACCCTTGAGCTGTGGTTTCGATTTAGAAACGAGACGTGCGGTGCAAGAAACGCTAATCACGCGCTAAGCTACGGTTTACCGGCCCTTTTCTACAGTAGCTCGCTTATTTCCGTCGTGTCAGATGGAACCGCCGGTAAGGTGGCCTGGAGGGGCCCTGTGTCGCATGTAGCCAGCTGGGGCGAGATTGATGCATCACACCAGCAGCGTCGGAAATGAAGATATCAAGAAGCTAGCACACGTCATGGCTCAAAAGCTGCTGTCAAGAATAACGTGCTTTGATGAAACTCGCTGTGCTTCAGATAGCGTCATTGCAACCGAGCGAGCGAGCGAGCGTCACCTCAAAGCGCGGACTGAAGAATGCACTCGTAATGTGAGTCAAGAATCATAATCGTGAATGGCAGGAATTACACTAGACAGAGGGCAGAAAACAAAATCAAAAAGTAAGTGGATGGGACCCTTACTTACAAGCTGTCAGGGCGCGTCTGAGCTTCAAAAGAGCTCGCTTAAGGGCTCGGTCATCAGGACGCACCTGCATACTACACAGTCAACAGTCAAGAGTCTACTCTCTGACTCGAGACCGTAATATTGGTGTAGTAGCAGTAGAATAGGGGGACAGGAGCATCTACGACCTCTGCCTCGAATTTGACGTTGAACCGAGGTTCAATCAGTGAGAGCGAGAAGAGACTGCTATGTTGGGCAGGCCGTTCTGAGGCGTGCAGCCCGCTCGATCCCCATGCACTCGTGCAGCGCTCTCGTCGCTGGGCCGCCGCGCTCGTGCTAGGCCTGCTAGCTGAGCCAGGGCAGTCACCGGCTCACCGCGGTATCCGCCCGTCGGGCTGCATCGCGTACATCATATCATCATTCACATCATTTACGATCCCGAACGCGAGAGCGGAACGCAACAACGGCGGGTGGGCGCAGACAGGGGTCGGCAGCAGATCTGATGACACTGACCTACTGCTGCCGTCATGTTGAAATATAAAGGACGTGCGGCCGCAAAGGTGTTGATATTATTAAATTCGATCGGTCTGGTCGCCAGCGCTCTCCAAGGCATTCATTCCATGGAGGCGCTTTTGGAGAGGGCAGATAAAGGGACGGGCCGCGCCAGAGCATGTCGCCTCTCGAGGCGCTTCTGCAGCTACAGATTGCAGAATCTTTTCGGCGAGCGACCGCGAGGGTCTTGCTATATATGTTATGTGAAGGAGGAGCACGAGCGCTGTGACGCGCTGCTTCATTGCTGCACATGTATGCTATGCTGCCTTGGAGCTTCCTTGCCTCGCGCGTTGGACCGACCAGCTCAAGCCCGCTCGGACACGCGCGAGGGGAGAGCTTGCTAAAGCTGCAGCTTAGGCTAGCTGTCAGCGTTTGCGAATCAGCGTCAGTCAACGCGCGCTCAGCAGGATAAACAGGCCCGGATTTCCGGTGAGCGGTGCAGCAAGACCTTGCCATCCGATCCGTCCCTCCCCATGCAACAACCGCATCATGTCTGCGCGCCCTATCCTTGTCCTTTGTGTTGTGGAACTGCGCTGCACTTGGCGCGGCCAGTTGTGTGAGCAAGGAAGAGACCGACCGCTATATTCAACTCATCTGGTGGCCTCGGTGAGATGAGATGGAAGGCCCAACGAGCAAAGTCATGAGTATAGAGCGTGTTTAACTCCTGCACATGCAACATGGCACTACTCGCCTGCCTGCTCGCAGTGACCGTTGTAGCGCGAATAGAGAGGCATGCCTTTGACACCGGTACAGATCGAGTCCCTCATGCGTCGGCGTTCCATCCGTTCGATCGAGAGCAGTGTGCTCGGGTGACCGCGACAAACTGTACCTCGGACTGGTCCTCTTCATCAATTGACCGCTGATGATGGGTCTCATAAATCACACCCAACGCCCATCACGCCCGCGTTCACCCCACCACACACCGCTCGTCGGCACACCTCAGCTCCCCACCCCCCCC